GCAGTTTTCACTCAGTGAATCACAGAATATTGGGAGTTGGAAGGGACCTCGAAAGCTCATCCAGTCCAACCCCTGCCAGAGCAGGATCACCCAGACCAGGTCACACAGGAACACGTCCAGGCGGGTTTTGAATGTCTGCAGAGAAGGAGACTCCACAACCTCTCTGGGCAGCCTGGGCCAGGGCTCTGTCACCCTCACAGTGAAAAAGTGTTTCCTCATGTTCAGGTTGAACCTCCTATGCTCCGGCTTGCACCCATTGCCCCTTGTCCTGTCAAGTTCTGTTGTTGTGAAGTTCTGTAGTTCCTGGAGTAAGCTTCTTCCTGCCTCACCACCATCATTCCTTGCTGGTGGAATTTTAAGATTGGTAAACATCTACTTATCTATTACTATCAAGTAAAGTTATCGCTTCCCTTAGTGTTTTTATTCAGATTGCAAAGATCTATTTAAGGAGCTCGGCAGCCTCTGCAGGAGGCAGCAGCACAAAGCAAGGTGTTTCTTCAGAAGCCGCACTGCACAGGCAGTACCAGTTACACCAGTAGGCCCCAGCAAGGTACCCTGCCCAGAGCTTGGCACGGGCAACCGCTCTGCACCATTGACAATGCTTTCTGCAGCACCGGGATAGAGCTACCCAAAATACAGAGTCTTTGGGGGAAACAAAAAATATGTCAAATTTCTCATTAACCTCTTAAGCAAGCTCCATGTACTTAAGGATCTGCCTCCCTCAGCATGAAGTAGCTACAAAACATCTATTTCTTTCTCTACTAAATATAAGGGCTTTTCATTACGAAGCGATTCAACGTGAAATCAACTCAGAGCACCCTCTCCTTGGGCAACTATGCCTTGACTAGTCCTGGTCTTAATGACTTAATTGTTGTTATTATTATTTATTTCTAAAAAGTCACCTGTAAACAGCAAATACTTCACCAGTTTTTGTACATCTGCTTTTGGTTTTCAAGTAGAGGTCACCATTGCTCTTGAAAGAAATATAAACATTAGCCTTATGAAAAAACAAACCTCTGGATTTATCAATATAAAATCATCTTCTATGTGTAGAAAGGGCTAAAAAAAGTCCCACAGGTTACTTTCAGTTGAAATCCATAGAATTAGTAACGTGCTGTATCTCTGCACTGGTGTACAGACTTATCCATAGAAAACAGGCAGGCTGCAGCTTGTAGGAGGTAAAACAGCTCCCTTTCATACGAGTATTTAAGCCATCAGCCAGACCTCTGTCCCTCAATACTGAGAAGACACGTGCGGTTTCAGTGAAAACAGATGCCTTTTCATTTTTTTGTTTAAATTTGGCTACAAATTTATGTCAAAATCTGAGAAGACTGCCGCTAAATGATTCCTGAAATAAAGTTTTTGCTGCAGTAAGTAACTGATGGTGGTCTTTACCGGCAGTTTGATGTGGTGACATCCCTTCTCTTAGTACAAAAGCTGTGCTTCAACCTCACTTTTCCTACCTGCGTATGGCACATCAGAAAATTTGTATTAAATGAATGAATCCCTGCAATGTTTTTAGTGGCACTATTTTTAGTCAAGAATTTGACACTGAAGTTTTGCGACAGTCAAAACAAGTTTAAAAGCCATGTTTGCTACAGTCTCCAGTTCAGGTGTTCCTTAAATCAAAGAGGTGAAACTTCTACTGAAGTCAAGAGCAAAACCTGCATTGACTTCAGTGAAGCTCTGATTTTACCCAGAAATTCTTACGATTCATGTCAGTTCTTGTTTCAAATGTATACCTCCATATTTTATGATAATTTTAATTCTTGGTTCTATTTTGGGAAGGCCTCCAGACACATGGGTCTAAGATGGTTTTCTGCATCCCCAGCAGTGTCCCAGCTTGCACGCTGGATTAGCAGTGTTACATACTGTGTGGGAATTCACCGCGCTTAACAATTACTTTAAGACCACGCAGTATCTGGGACATTATTGCTTAAATGAACGATCATTCATGTGTGACACACTGCACCCAATGACATTTTTAAAAGAAGAGAAAAAAATACACAAGGCCAGAAGCCCTGTCTGTTCATTCACCATCATTTACAGTTCATACCACATTACTGCAGTAACCTCCTATAGCATTCACAGTAACAAAAGCACCCTAGTTAACTCCTAAATTATTAAGGATAACTTAGTGCTGTTTCCTAAAGCTTTGAATGTTGACTTTTCTTCACATCCAAAGTAAAAACTGAGCAACCGAGCAAAACAGGAACAGGATATCTCAAAACCTACTGAATGTTGAGAGCAGGGGCTCTGGAATCACAGCAGTTCACCAATGTCATTGGAGGAACTTTGTAAAAAAGTAAAGAGGAAGGAGGAAAGTGGTAGGCAGTAATGAACAACGTGAAGTTAACAGATCTGTGAACAAAGAGAAATAAGTAAGATGATGCTAGGAATCAAATAGAAAGGGGATAGCAGGCAAATCCTTGTTCAGGGAAGACAACAACAATTTCCATGAGCTGCTCTAAAATTAAAACTTAAACTTTTTTAGCACCTTTTTTGCAGTTGCTCCTAAAAAAAAAAATCGTGATGGGAACAGGCAATTTTAGCAAGGCCTTAGATTATTATTATTATTATTCATAAAAGCAGCTAACAGAAGATGGGAAAAGATTCATCCAGGCAAAGTGGACCTTTTCTCAGACTGCTCCTAAGGATACTTGAAGGCCGTAATCTTTTCCCTGGAAGAATCTCAAGAAGCATGAAGGTAGCCAGAATAATTTCCAACGAATGGCAAAGCAAGACTGCTTCTAGCAAGTTTGTGGGGAAGAACTCAAGTAGTTGGAAAAAAAAAGAAATAAATTGCTATTTTAGTAGTTTAACTTCAGAAATACAGTTTAAAATTACTACGTTAATTTCATATCCAGTCTTCGTGTTAACGAGGAAATGAGTTAAGCTTAAAAAAACCCAACTGCTAAGCATCTGGCATGCGACATCAAGGGAACTGTTGATGTTTACACTGTGATATAACTTTATAAATTTAGTTCCAGTAGGGAAAAAAAGTTACTTTAAGATCAGAAAACATATTTAAATATGACAATGAAATAGTAGTGTAGATCAGTTTAAGCCAGCTAACAGAAAGCGACATTTACAGTCAGCAATCCTGTGGCTGCCAGACCGAAATGTGACTTGGTCCCTGTTGTCACCACAGCCAGGAACTGAAAGACACTTAATTATTCCTTTTGCATGGTCATGGTTCCTCAAACGTAGCAGACAACAAGCATTTTGCTTAATGAATTACATTACTTTTTCATTTTAGTCTTAGCCTGGCTTTTCAGATACTGCCTTTAATGTAAAATGTATCAAAGTTGTTAAAATGAGTATTATGCGAATTATTTCAAAACCAAGTAGATCTGAAATACCGTATTTTCAAAGGTCAAAGCAATCCAGTTTCCTGAAGGATTTATGTCACCTACGTTTTACATCCAGGGCTTTGCAAATTAACTTCTACACCAGCCTCTCCATGAGCTGTATTTTAAGATAGCACTATATAAACCACAGCGATTTTGAACCATTACACACGAATCAGTGCGTTTCAATGGATTTACAAATAACGTATCTTTAAAAAAAAAACAACCACGTCATCATCAGAAAAAGGTTATTTTTCCTCTCAGCTATTGATTTTAAGGACTGTGGTAAATGGAGTAAGGAGTAAATGATATCCCTCCCTCATTCTTTTATGAATTATATTACATGGGATCTTGATCAATTGGAAGAACCAGAGTCAGGTCTTGTTACACACTGGGCAAACATGTCCCTCAATCAAAGTGAACGTAGCCTGAAATAGAAAATCTGTGACAGTCAGAACTCTCTTCTTTTAATTTAACTACCTATTCATGAAGAACAAACTAATGCAAACAGACCTATTAATAAAATTATTACATTATTTGCAACTTGTTTGGAGAACTAAACTGTGTGCGGTTTCAGAATGTTCTCAAAACACTGAGAATTTGTGCAGAAGCAAACAAATACATGAACTCGGAAGTTCCAAAAAACCACCACAGTGGAAATTTCTTTCTTTCACATTTATGCAGAAGAGTCTAACGTATCAGCACAGTGACATTTGTACAAACTGGTGTGTGTGCTATGCCGCCCTTGTGTAAATTACACAATAAATCCCATAAACACTGAAAAGATAAACACTGGTATTTCCCAACTAAATTACGGATATACCTCTTGTAAAAATGTGATGTGAGATCAGGAGGAATATTACACAAAATCCTGAAAGTCACATCGTAAACCTGAGATTTTGGCAGTTTTAATCAAAATGTCCTACATTACTCTGTATGCGTCACTAGTCCTCACGTCTTCTTCACCGTGTGTATTGTTTGTCCCAAACAAAGAAAAGTAGACAAATTTTTTTTGTTCAGCAATACATTAAACCAAAAGTGATTAAGTATTATCAAATTAAATAGCATAAATAAAAATTATTTACAGTATTTTCTAATTATTAGACAACAAAACCAATTGAATTGTGCAATAAACTTAAAACACCCAACATCAAAAATGTGAAGTATTACTTAAACCTTCACGTACTGATTTTACAAAAAACTATTAAAATATTTAAAAATTTCCATTTCATCTATTTTAAACAAAGAAATTTCAAAAATGTTTAAGACTATTAAGCATTATCAATTACACAGGCACTTCACATGTAAACAATCTACAGTACAACTGAAAAAAAATATTTGGCACCAACCTAGAAGACTGGAAAAAATAAAATGTGTCCTTTTCCCATTGTATACTGTTTTGTGTAGTCACCATACACTCAGACTAAGTACTGGCAATGTTAGAAGTGTGTAAGTTACAATCAGGAGTGCAAAAAAATAATAAAAAAAGCTAATATTAAGCTTTTTGAGAGAGTGAAAGTGGATTACAAGTGATCAGTTGCTCGCATTTTTACCATCATACCATCGCTACATTTTCGTTTTAATCACATGATTGACTTTAATCTTTCAAGTGTATGTATGTGCTTTGTATCTCAAAATACTTCAAACAATATTTTCAATGTAGGAAAAGAAATCCAGCATTTAACTGTAACACTGTGAGATGCTAAATGGCAGCTTTAAACTTAAATTAACTGGAAAGAGAACACGATGCTACCACAATCTCTTTGTGCATCCAATTACAAAAGGAAAAAAAAAAGGAGTAATTATGTTCTTTTAACTGTCAGCTGACTCCAAGGTTTTCACGTACAACTCTGAAGTAAGGCTCTCTACAGCATCTGGACAGATATTAGTTTTTGATGGCTTGGATGTTCCCGTGTCGGAAGCTGAACTGCCTCAGAGCAATCCAAATTGACAGATGGAATGAGGAGTTGTTGAGCTTCCCAGAAGTCATGTCACATGGAGGAAAGCTGAGATACTTTCAATGTAGGCAATTCAAGCAGAGCTTGAACTGTGAGGCCAACCTTCACCAGACCCCTTTCCTCCAGAATGTGATGAGGCAAGCAAAGTCTCTCCTGCAAAATAAAGCAGTACGTGTATCAAGCTTCACTCATTTTTTCCCCCAAGGTAGATGACAAAAGCATTCTCTCTGAAGTCACACATACATCACTAAGACACTTGCACAGAAAATGTCTTTAGCTTTAAATGTCACATGTGGTTCTCTGCAGTAACAGAACAGTCAGAAACTAATTATACCCAAGATCTGTTTAAAGTGTTAAACTATGACAACATACATAGATACATAAAAGACTGGTCATTTCACAAAGCCACAGACTCTGTTTCTTTTCCTAAGCAGAGCAAGAAAAACAGGCTGATGGGCACTACTTGCTCGGCAGCCTACTTCCCCTTTCTCTTGTTTTGTAAGTTTGTTACCAATTTTTCCCTTGGGAAAACTAGGAAGTGCCGATAGACTGGGTCCTCAGTAATAAGGCATTCCCCAGGAATGGCATCTTGCAGTTTCAAAATTCAGCACAAGCTGGACAACTTTCCCAAATGCTGGCTGGTGTCACACGTAATTCAGAAGGTAAATCTTAGCATCTCTAACTTCTGAATGGCCTCTGGCTGCACACCACATAGAAGCTGTAGCAGAGCAACAACTCAGGCTTCTAAATCCATGACCCCAATTTCTTGTTCCACTAAAAAGGACCAAGGCAGTTTTTTTTATCTCTTGTAATATGCAGGAAATTTTATTTTGTTTTCCCACCCCCCATACATGGAAGAGGATGAACTTGGGCAACAGAAGCATGAATAATGGGCTACAACTACGGCCATGCTATAAAAAGAGAGCTAATCAGTTAGGCTATATATTTCTGTAATGGCAGGGTATTTCCTAGGCAGACACTGAAATTCATGCCAAAGTGAGCTGCTAAAATCAAGACTTTCACATATCACAACATCATCCTCTCGCATCAGTTCTTTTGTTTAGAAGACAATTTATTTTACAAGGAATATTATTTTTACTATAAGGAACTGACTAGAAGCTCACAGAGTAGCTTCCTCAAGTTCATGCCACAGGCCAGAAATGGGACTTCCTTTCAGATCTTCAAGTTTCCTCATCACTGTTATAATCACTACTGCTCCCCAAATTAAGCCCTCCCAAAAAACCCGAATCCAGTATCTGCTGACATTTTCTTTGGTTATTAATAGCAAGCCAATAAAACAATTAGTGTACCTGTGGAACGCCCAATTTTTTACAAGCATCGAGAAAGTTTTCAACATTTCTTCGGCACTTTGCCATACTGAGTTTAGGCTGTAAAGACAGGATGTTAGATCTTCAGCATACATTCGTGAAGGATTGTGTATTTCTGATACAAATTCAGTTACAGCTGCTAAAACAAAACAAGTTCTAGGAAGACTTAGTATATGAAGATAGCTCTTAAGCTAAACTTCTGAGCTTTGTTTAATAGTTATTGCAGAAAAATGGCAATAAGGAATGTAGCCAATTAACACAGTAAACATGCTTCATGATGGTTTAGTATCAAGCTTCAAAAGCTTGTTTTTACATAAGATGCAACAAAGATGAGATCAGTGACTTACCACTGCTGGCGATGGTACGTGAATGCTGGCAACAGAACGCGGCCTTATGTGATTGGCTAAATGGCAAAGAACTACTCCATCCATCAATGCTGCTCCAATGTCGTCCGGCAAAATGACTTTTAACCTTGATTCAAGGTTCTATTAAAAAGTCCATAAGCAAGTTACTTTCAACATCAGCTAATTTTAGATCTTAAATCCAGGACATTTTAAAGCATTCACTTTAAGAGACATTTTAATACTAAAATGAAGTAAATGGAGCCAACTCACAGCACAGATATCCTTTTCTCTTTATCATTAACCTTACATTCCCTTTGCTTTCTTGGGGGTTGGGGTCTGTTTGTTTGTTTTAATGACACAACTACATACACTAAGAAAGACATTCAGCCAACAACTACCACGACACATCGCTCTCATGCCACACAATGAACTTTCTACCCATAATAGGAAAGCACAGAATTTAAGGACAGAAATGTCAGGCTGAACACCTTATTAGCTGTTAGCATACAGAATCTGTGGGTTGAAACAATACACAGTTTTGCCAGGTGAAGGAGGAAATAACCACAACCACTTTGGGCACGTCTATTTCACTTGTGCAAGTGACATTTAAATAGCTGAGGAAAGTGTGGCCAAGAAGTGCTCACATTTGTGTTGCAGAACAGAGGAGAGAAGCGGGAAATGTACTCTCCCACCCCAGCAACAAGCCCTTGCTGCTCAGGAAGTCAGCCAGACAAGACACAAACAGCCTTCATAGAAGTCACATCCCAAATCAGTACTGTCCTGGAAAGCAGAGCTGCTGTGCTTTACAGTTAACTGTAACTCTTAAGTATCTTGAGAGCATAACTATGCGGAAAACAACTTACTGGAAGCCTGAAATTTAGATTCAGTATTGTAAGACTTGTAGCAACTTTCAACACTCAAAAAAGCACGTGGGTAGTCAGGAAACCATGACCATCTTTCTTCTAATCTCAGGTCAAATAGCGCAAATGCAAGCAGATTTATTGTCTTCCTAGGAAAATTTAAAGCCTTAGAAATTTAAAAATAAAAATAATTTTTCATTTCACTTCATTTTTTTCAGCTAAAAAACACCTTTTAGTTTCCTGGTTGGTATTTTGGTTGGACCAAAAATAGTACCAGTGTCGTCTGTTACATGAAATTCCTTAGGAAGAAATATCACTACAGAGATGCCCTTGTACAACTGTAATGATCTGCAGGCCCTTATCTTAAAGGTTTAAACTGTGGTAGAGAGCAAATCAAATACACTGCAACAGTACAGTAAATAACGGTACGTACATTGCGAAGCTGTCTTATCTGTTCCCTCTCTTCCCTTAAATGCTCCATTTTCCTCCTCATTGTAAATCCAGGATCCACTGCACCATAGTCCTGGCGGGATGCACGGCTGAAAGCTATCAAACATTAGTGAAGTTAGTTTTCAGAATTCAGATCAAAAAAACACAACTAAAAATCTACCACCAAGGATAAAAATGGGGAAAAGCTGCAGAACTTTTCAGAACAAATACACTTAAATGTCCTGATGTAAGAGACTCTGTCTATAAAACTCATCTTTCAAATAAAATATGCAGATAATCCTACTTAAGTGCAAATGGATAACTAGAAAATATGGAGCCAGAATTAACTTCAACATTGAAATATCTGAGACACAGAACTCCATCTGCACTTTTCCAAGCATAGCTTGCAATCTAGCTTTGAAAGTATTCTCACTGTGTCTATGGAGAGTGAAGAAAGGGACAGAACTCTCTGATATACAGTGAAAGTTTTAGAAGATAGAGATATATATATATACACACACACACACGTGCATGTGTTAGGTGCACATATGCAAGGACACAGTGATTGCTTATTAAAGAACTGAAAAATAGGAAGTGCCATCTACAAGTTGAGAGCTCCTTAAAAGAGAAGGTCTGTTAAATATTTATATTCACTTTACTATTCTTCATGGTCAGAAAGCCTTCAAATGACAATTCTATTATTTTATAGAACACTGGCAAATAAAAACTCGTCTGTTGCAATACCACTGTATCCTTAAGTATTTTATTCCATGTCTTTAAGCAAAAAACTCAATACTTACACCTTTGGAACTTTCTATATTGTTTCTAATAGTTTGGATTTTAGCAAGAGATCTAACAATCAAAAACTAACAGAAATTTTATAGATACTCTTGAAATCACTGCTTTGATTATGAGAATATGTAGTTTGTATACAGAAAAACAGAAGTGCATGTTACCAGTGGTATCTATGGAAGCATTTAACACAACAAAGACTTTGGCTTGTAAGTAAGAAACAAAATGCCATTCACTTTCCCAAAACTGAATGAAAGGGATGCTGCTGTTTCATGGACCTGAAGGAGGTCCCAGGAACCCCACTACTGCACTGAGAAGATATGGGCTGAAAAGTCCCAAACAAGCCAGCTTCCTCCTACCAAATCTGCACCCTCATGCAGCCAAGGATGTAGATAACGTAGAAGCCTCTAAATGATCACAGCCAGGCATGTCCTGGTCCATGCAACTAACCCAGCTATTTCTGGCATAAAGGTTTCATGCAACTGCTTACAAATCTCCAGTGACTTAAGAGCCCTGAAGAAGTCACTTGCCTGACCTCAGCCAGACACAATCTGTCACTGAAGGCTCACAGGCTCATATTAAGGAGGTCGAGCTTTGCTACCATAAACACTGAATGGAATTAAACTGAAGAGTTGAGATCATTCGTAATGAATTTGCACAGAAAAGAGTGGTATTAACCAGAAAAAGGATTGCAGAGTGTCTTTTATAAATTATGTTTTACACTGTTGACATTCAATATTCACATTGACACTTGCAAACAAAAGAATACTGTAACTGCAAAAAACCCCTGTATTAATTATACCTAGATTTTACAGGACTCAAAGTCTGCTTTGGACAACACAGCTTTCTTATTAGGATATGGCAGAGTCTTAGAAGAGTCAGGGTGCAACAAAGCACTAAGCTGTAAAACTCATGGTAAAGCTCTGCTCTAAACAACCTTTCACAGGACAAATTACAAGTCTACTTCTCTTGAAACCCTCCTGCATCAGCTATCAGGTCTCAAGAACAACTGCATGCTGTTCTTTGACAGAGACTAAATATGCACAAAATAAATCAGTGGGGAAAAAAAATAATTAAAAAAAAAAATCACTGTGTGACTTGGAGAACTTTCAATTGAAATTCGTTTGCCAAAGCAGCTGTCTAAGTCTTTCCCAGTACTGTGCTTGTGGTAAGTACACCGAGTAGATTGCTGCACTGTGGCATCTCTTCATATTCATTCCAACACACGCATCTGCTCTCCTTGCCATCCACTCCAGCCCAGGAAATAAACATCTGTTCTATCATGCTATGCTAGAGAACAGCAACTTACCTGACCTTGGTTTGAGACCAAACGGACCATGAGTGTTACTGTCTGTCCTTTCATAATCCTGTTAAGAGATAAAGTAAATTTTCTTCCATTCGTTAAAAGAATTAACTGTTATTCCCATCAAGATAGCGTCTAAATTATTCCTCCATAAGAGAAGTGAGTTCTACTGCTTAACTGTAACACATTCTTTTGAAGGGGACAGTATTAAATAAATGGAATGAAAGTCACCTCACTACATGCAGATAAAATTACCTTACTGAGGAAGAAAAGTAGAACTGGATTAACTACAAATCCACTCTAAACCATTTCAAACTACTGCAAACCATTCTGTGAACAGTTCTAAGCCAGCAGTACACAAATGCCACTATCCTCCCAATGCTTAGCATCAAAGCATTTCTTAAGAAATGGTTACTTTCAGTTATGAAGGTTTTCCTCATTTCACCATCTAAAGAGAGATGCACTCAGTAATTTGGCATGGACATGAGATATCCTTATTTCAATTCATGTCACTGTATTTGGAAGATGTTCTCATTCTGTTCCCTCGGGTTCCTCATTGGCACGAGATGGAAATGTTAATAATCTTTGCTTTATTCAGAGCTCAGCAGTGTAGCGTAGCCACACAAACTACACAGACAGTCCTTAAAAAAGGAAGCAACTGGTGAATGACGCTGCAAGGCTGCACCAACAAATGCCACAGCCAGAATCATAAATTACAAAACTCCCTAAGAAGCTCCATTTGGCTCCCCCATGATACATAAAATACTAAACCACAAGTTTTACTTAAAATCCTCTGTATGGCTAATACATAGAGGACATCTACAAAAAACAAAGATCAGTTTTGCCATATTAGCTGTTTTCGTTCTAGAAGATAATGGAGACAAAGCAATGCACCTTTCTACACATCAGTCAAAAAAGAAGAAATCTAGGTGAGCTCAGACAGTTGCAAAGGTAACACAATGGGTGACACCTGTCTCTAGTTTCCATCTATTTTTGGACTTTTATTATGATGAAATATTTCCATTTACAGTGTCAAAGGAAATTAACAGCTTTATATCTGCATGGAAAACCTGGTGACAAGTAATGTGCACAGAGAAACGTTTGCTGAACGAAAAACAAAACCACAAACTTGTACCTCAGACGACACAGGAGACTGTGGGGACACATTAGTATTATCACTGTCTTGCTAAAAAGAAATCAAAAAGATGACATTACAAAAATGAAAGTTATGATCTAACAAGAAACATGAGATTATGAAATACACAATACATGAGGCACGCAACATTTGTCAAGTATGTGACAAACCGGCAGCAACTAAATTTAAAAACATGTAAGTCAAGGAAATACTGTCCACTACTCATGTTGAATATTACTCCTACGTTACCTCTGCTTCATAGGTGAATTCCCTATAGCCAAGGCAAGTAAGTGTCCTACTTCTCCCCAGTACACAGTTTTGATGACCTTTTTCAAATAAAGCAGTATAGCGCTTGTTTCTGCCATGGCTTTGAAGGCAAAGTTTGTCTGCGTGGACTCTAGCCAACGTTTTCCTGATCCGCGAATGTGGCTTGTAGGTGTTCATAAAAGCCAAGCGAATAAAATTGTTTTCTTAACTATTTTACACAATTACTATTTCTCACCTCATCATTTTCATTTCCACTTGAACTCTTTCTGGAAGACTTGTACTGCAAAACACACACAATTATTAAAGTGCATATAAGGTTTTCATTTGAAGTAAATGGCTTGATACCAGTCAGATGTCACTTATTACCTACCAGTGAAGCTGCTGAGAAAACACACATTACAGAATCAAAGGAGCAAAAACAGAAACAAGAGAGAAAAGATCATCTACCTCCTAGGCGAGCCAAGATCTTCATTATATTGACAAGAGAGTAAGAGCATTTTAAACCTAAATACTTCTACAGCGTGAACTCTGACTGCATATGACAGTCGATCCAACTAAAAAGATCTTAACAACTGCAACTCTGAAGCACTATTTGTTAGGAAAAAGTCTGCAACTTGTGAAAATTACTTTTCCAATATGTTTTATTACGGAACTTCAAGATTGCTTACACTGACTGACTTGACATTGTAAAAAATTACATTAAAAAAAATTTCAAGATTTCCTTTACAACTTCAAAGCCTGACTGCATTTTTTTATCTACAGGACCAGCACTTCTTCCACAAGTCTATGGGCCTTTATCACTGTGCCACCTCCTGATTATTCTGAAAGCGCAGGAAACGAAGGAGGGATTGAAGGAAGGAATTTACAAAAGCGGTATTTAGGAAAGTAAATGTACTTCACTGTCTGCAGAGCAAGTGTACAAAAACAAATCCAGGAAAAAACCAGAACTGGCTTTTTTGCCAGAAGAACATGGACACAACATGAACTGTATTTTCACTGGTTCCTCAGAACACCAGTGGTAGCTATTTTTTTCCCCCAGTTTGCCATGGAAAACAGACTCTGTTTCACTTCCTAACTGCTTTGATTTTGCAAGTGAAACTATCAGTGATAGCGATTTTTGTTACTGCCTCTTAATTCACTTTTGAGACATGTCTACAGCTGTATGCAATGATTTCAGGTACCTTGCTTCACCAGAGCTCAAAACCAAAACCTCTATTAGCATTTAAAGACATCCTTTAAAATTACAAGGAATCACTAATGCAGGTCTTTTGTATTGTTAGCACAGCTGTTTAATGAGACAGATGACTGAATTCTGATTTACTTGGAAGTTTTCCCCTGCCCTTCAAAGGGCAAAAGTATTTAAGGGATGAAAAACCTGGAAAGGATACAGCTCCATAAACTCATCAGGAACAAAAACAATAGCTTCTATAATCACAAGAACGTATCTGAGCTGTATGGCATGCTCTGTTTTTTCTAGAATTTAATTTCTTTGAAAATCCCTAGCATTTTAGAAAGATGTTTGATAGCAAAGATCCAAGAAAGTAATTTCATGAGTGAAATTTAATCTTAATTCAGCCTAGCACTGCCCAGAATTCTATTTCTCTACCATATCCCAAAACAAGTTTTATCTCATCTGCTGTAATTTCATACCCATTCTGCAATAAGAAGACACTGACATCTGGTGACCAATGGTACACATGACAGCAGCAAGACAGAAAATTTCCTGTCTACAATGCGAAGTAATGCGGCGAGACCCAAAATGCCTAGAGCATTCTTATAACAAAAAGATAACGTGTATTTCCCTTGCACTACCGACAAGAGAAAAGTCCTCAAAATGGATGGGGAAGGACCAGTGACTGAAGATCAGTTTCTGGCTTTACCAGAGAACACCTGTAAATTACTTTCTTTTATTGAAAGGCTAAACAAAGTCTTTGGTCAATTTTTTCCTCCTGAATTTCCTGCACTCTCACATTACCCTAAATACATACATATATATTATTTAATACAGAAGAGCCAAATGAATGATTACAGATCACATGCAAAGTTAAAAGCATGATAACCTCTGAGGTTTTCTTACCCTCACTTGGTTATAAACCTTCTGCTCTCAGTAAGAAAGAAAATGTCACCCACACACACACACCCCCTCATTACCTTGAAATATTCTTTTCTAATTTGTTTACTCCTCCTTCTTTCTTCATTCTGCCAAATCACCGGCTGTGTTTCTGGCCAATGTTGCTCATTCACTGAATCCTTCTGGTTTTCCAGTGGCTATAATGTTCAGAAATATTTTTGTGTTAAAGGTAAATACACCTTGTGTGCAGCATTAACTCAAATTATGATGAACTACAATTATGAATTGTTTGCCTCTCAATCTAAATTTATGACATGAAAGTGTTATCAGTCTTAATGGTGATTCTGGTAGAAATCCCTTCCTTCCTTTGAAATCCTTAAACTTATTGCATGAAAGAAAGGATTTATCAAGTAATTCTTAGAGAAAATAACAACCTTTTCTGTATTGAGTCTAATTTTTGCAGGTATGTTAGGAAGCCAACCTAAGGTTGCTATAAAAAACTTAAACCAGAAGTGTGGTGAGCCACTAGCACGTCGAATTTCTCAATCTGAATACTCATTGTACAGTAAAAGGATGGCTACAAGACTATTTAAGTATTTCTCTGCTGTTCCTAGCTAAAAGATTATACACAGAAACTAGCTGTAAAAGAAATCTCTCTTTCCAAGTATTGTATTACAGAGTGTATTCTGAAGAGACAGCAGAAGTAGATTTACTCTGAGTATGCGTGAATACGTCTATTTTATGAAAGATGGAAGCAGACAATCTGAAGTGACCATTTAATAACAACACCAAAACTACATCTCTAGCTATTTCATATTAGAATATCAGGCCACTTAAAGCAGTTTTAAGTATCTGATAGATTAAAATCTAAAATAACAAGAGTACTCTCTACAGTTTCATTGCAATTTTACTGTATCATGCAAGCTTCTCAGTGAGGTAATGGGGAACGAAAGGCCTACATAATTAGAATTTAAGAACTATATTTTACATTTACAGTTTTACAGGTGTACATTTAAAAACTAAAAACCTCACACCACCACATTATGGTGAGTCAGTAAAATTTTTATGTAAATAAATATTAAAATGAATTAAAACTTACAAAAGAGTAGTCTCAGTAAGTCTCAACTTAGTTACTGTATGTATGCAAATACAGTGGACAGTATAAAACCTTTGAAGAACATAAGCATCAAGATAATTTGACTTGTATGTAGTGGAGCATGTGGTTCTAGCTTTGAAATCTTGAAACTAAGTGTCTAAGCAACCGTATGAATGTGTAAAAATTTTCTGCCAGAAATACAAAACCAAAGAAACCAAAACAATCACTCAAATATGAAGTCACCACCTTTGCATTTGAATATTTACCTGCCAGCTGTAAGGGGTGACCGGAGAATTCACTTCATCTGTTGAGACACTAAGAATTAAGGTGAGAGAATTATGAAATTTACTACTTTTTGTGTACTTCAGAACCAAGTTATTTTTTGATATTAAAAAGGTTAATACTATTAAAAAAGCTTCTCTGCAGCACTATAGTTTGGGGGTTTTTTTGCTTCCTATATAAGGATGTCACAATGTGGCTAAAAAGCACGACCATTTGACCAAAATATCAAATCATATGTCACTCTCCTGTACCATATGCTGACAATAGGTCTTCCCCACTAGAGTACTTTATTCAGATAAAGCTTTATCTTGAGCATGTTGACCTTTCGAGATTACTAACACACCTTCATTGTTTTCTTTCTCAAAGCAACCAATTAAACATTTTGTTCAAAGCTGACAAAAGATCTGTTCTTCAACTTTTGGAAGACTCACAGGCTTCATTTCACTATCAGCTCTACATAGTAGAGTATTATACTAATAGGGAAGGGAAAAACATTTTAAGATAGGACAGTGAAACTGCAATATCTCAGAAAAATACACTCTGGAACATGGACTGCCTGAGACTATTGAAAGTTCTCAGAATAAAAATATTTAGATTTATTTATATTTAGTGTCACCTCAAGTTTTTCTAAGTGTTTCTGTGAAATTCCCTTCCATTCTCTTACCAGCAGCCATTGTACTCTGACAGCTGGCTTGGAAGCTGTGCAGCATACCAAGAAGCTGCCAGCTGGGGACTGAAGGCAAAGAGGACATCACACCGGGGGCAATTACAGTAAACGCTGAAGGGAAAGCAACCAGGCAGTCGGCTTCTGCTGCGTTGTATTCCTTCTCCTTCCTTTTCCTTTGTTGGCCTCAAACCAACAATGCTACTTTTTAAAACTGTTAGGCATACAGAATGTGCCTGAATCACGTCCAATAGCTTGGTGAGCAATCCAGCTGAGAATTGCAGGTACTGCTGCAGTAAGTTTTGTAAGAGTTTTGCTGTTGATACGTAAGTATCCAGTAACTACAACATACATGACAGATTTTTCAGGGATAGGACATTCTTTCTACTCTGTTATTTATGCAGTGTGTGATTTGGGTTCCTATATATCAGTGTAACAACCCAACAAATAGCCTGGAACAACGACTTTAGCTTGTATGCGCACCTCAAAATTAAGGGGGTAGAGGGGTGGCTGGGGTTTTTCTGCAGTCAGAAATAGGAAGCTGTGATTTCCAAGGGTAAATACAAGTGTCTGAGTATTTTTGTTTGTTGTTGGTTCGTGGCATTTTGTTGGTTTTTTGATTTTTTTTGTTGTTGGTTTCTGTTCTGTTGGGTTTTTTTTTTTGTTTTTGTTTATTAAATTCAAAGGAAGA